CCCAACCCTGGGATTAAAACTTATGTATTCTTAAAGCAGACTTAGTACAAGTCTGCTTTAAGTAAGAGTCCAGAGCCGTTAACGAGAGCCGAGATTGGTCCGGGTCTTAAAAAATCAACTGTTGTAACACTGGTTCAAAAAAACAACCACCTCAAAACAAGTTTGATAGATTTGTCAGAAAGAAAACGCAGAGGAAGTCAAAATGATTAGTGACCCTTTTTTTTTTAAACAGTAAGTGATAAAGATTTTCTGGGGATTGAACCAATCAGATGACCTTCACGAACACAATGTGGCTGATTTCAAGTAGAGAAGACTAAAGCCGGTCAGAGAGCAAACTTAGAGGGAAATGAAAGAAGTCAAAGTATAAATGCACCTTTACGAGGGAAGAGCATGGTCGCTTCCTGCAGATTCAATATGTACAATCAAACCATGCAGGCTGAAGAAAAGTGAGCACATATCAGCTGCTCCGACTGTCAATATTCACATATAGATACACTATTAACAAACAGACCACAAGTTCTTCACACTTCTACTGACCGGGAACCAGTTTGTAAAACCAGTTTCTCACCCCCGGAGAAAAAGACGTCCTACAGTCTGTCAACCGTCAGCCCAAGTTTGACAAACTGTCGACAAACAAAATAAGTCTTTGAAGTTTTCTCTGGTAAAACCAGAAAGCTTCAGTCAGGGTGACTCAGCCGTGACACAAAAACTAAAACTGTCTTTAAAACACAAAAATCTTAGGCTTCGATGACTGAAACTTTTGTTCAGTGGCTGAATTTGACTCAGGTGTAGCGAGTCTGGGGTGAAAAATACCCGACAAAAATTCTCAACAACTAGCAGTTTTGGCCTTGCAAAAAGCTATAGCCCGTTCAGAGGGTTGCTGGGACAAAGACTGTTTTGGGATATTCAGGTTTTTCTTTATTTTGTAATTTCTCTAGCTGACTGAAGATGCAAACTATCTTCAGCAGATTAGCTGAATAAAATTATATAAAATTTGATAAAAATCTTAAGATGCACTATTCAGTCCCTCCAGGATTTCACAGGCAGTTTTGAGGGCTGGAGCCTATCCCAGGGTGAGAGGCAGGGTTCACCCTGGACAGGTCACCAGACTATCACAGGGCTGACACATAGAGACAGACAACCATTCACACTCACATTCACACCTACGGACAATTTAGAGTCACCAATTAACCTGCATGTCTTTGGACTGTGGGAGGAAGCTGGAGCACCTGGAGGAAACCCACGCTGACACAGGGAGAACATGCAAACTCT